CTTGGTTGGAGGAGGTGGGTCATTGGGGGCCTGGAAAGGTCTATCTCCTTCTTTTCTCCTTTGATTCCTCTCTCTGCTTCCCACTGCCATGCCATGAGCTCTTTCTCCTCTGCCATTCCCCTCTGCCATGCCATCTTGCCTTAGAGCCATGGACTGAAACCTCTACAAACTGTAAGCCAAAATAAACCTCTCCTTTTTTTTTTTTGCTTAAATTCTTTTATTGGTACATTTTAGGTATACAATATGTTTACATTTATCATTGGGTGTTTGTACCTGTCTCCTTCTTAAGTAGTAGGTGTCAGGTATCTTGTCACAGCAACCAGAGATTGACTAAGAAACCCACCATCAGAGGAACAAAGCCAGGCTCAAGATGATAGGGCTCGGGGAACAGAAGCCCTCTGTCAGTCAAGCCCAGAAAGATGCAGAACTCAACTGAGACAGTGCACAAAGATCCAAATGCAGGGATGTCTCCCAGTATTATGGTAGGAATGATGAGGCACACAATGTCCAGCTACAGTGGGACTGTTACTCTATCCTAGTTTATACTGTCTAATTATACTTCATATCTTGCTCTAATCTTATTTGACATGATGCCTGTAAGCCCATGGTCTCTCTTCATTTGGACTACAAACTGGCCAGATCTAAGATGACTGCCAGAATGACCACTAATAACCCCTAATTTCATTATAGTCCACATGCATGCTAAATAACACCCTAGAATTATGCCAGTTGCCAGTTGCCAATTGCTACAAAAATGACTGTCAAGACTCATACAAGGAAAGAAAAGAGGTTGTGCCAGAATTTGGGAGTAGGGGGATCTCTGCTCATTCCCAGAAAAGACATGAATATTCCTCCACTTTATCAGCCTATCCCTCCCCCCATTTCCTTTACTCTATGCTGTATCTATAACCTTCTGATCACCAACAGGCTGATGAGTTGATTTGCAAGTTTATTCCTCCTATTCTTGGTGAAGAATAAAAGTCTTTTTTGCTTAATTGGTACTACATTCTTGTTATTGGTACCACAATTCTGAGGATAAAAGGACCTGGTTTGGGGTCAAAAATAAGTAACAGGAAGGCATTACCACACATAGACCTAGAGGGCCAGAGGGAAGAAATAAAGTCAGTGGAACTCAGAAGAGGAACACCTGATGGGAAATGGAGAATCCAATGACTTCCAGACATGTATCCCAAAGCAAGGAGGGTCTGAAGAGGGCACTTCTGAGTCAATCTCTTTCTCTCACCTTGTGCGCTCTCCCCAGTTTTCCAGTCTTCTATCTGTGCCTCACTGGTCAAATGCAATAGATGATTGTTAAACAAGAAACCCCTGGGTGGTATCAACCTCCCTATAGATCAGGATATGGGGTAGGGGTGGGCAAAGCACAGGTCAGAGAAGGATGGGGCACAGATCTAGGGTATGGAGGAGGCTACACAGAATAGCAGGTATGAGCCAAGCCTGGTTATAAACACTTGCTCTCTTGCCCACCTCTCCCTCCCTTGAGACCTATGTGCCCACCCACTGCCTACCACCCTTGGCTCTGATCTTGCAGTCTCTGTCCACCTGTCCTAGCTCTGTCTGCAAGGCCCTTGGCAAACCGGAAGAGATAGAATCTTCCTCAGCTCCTCACCTTCTTCTTGCTACTTCCTTTCTCTTCCCTTCTCTTCCCGTCCCTTCCCTTCCCTTCCCTTCTCTTCTCTTCTCCCCCTTCCCTTCCTCTTCCTCCTATTCCTCCCCTGCCACTTGTCCTTCTCTTTGTCCTCTTCCTCCTCCTCCTCCTCTTCTCTCCCACCCTTGGGATCAAACTTAGGGACAGCTTACCACTGAGCTACATCCACATACCTTTTTATTTTGTGACAGGTTCTCACGAAGTTGCCCAAGCTGGTCTTAAACTTGCAATCCTCCTGCCTCAGCCTCCTGAATAGCAAGTAGTTGGAACTACAGGCATGTACCACCACACTTAGAGCTATTCTCTTTTGACAAAGATTCCTCTCATTCTCGTGAATATTTTTTCCCTAAATCCCTGGTTCAAGGCAGCTCTGAAGACCCTAAGGAGTCAATGCAGTGGTCAGGCAAAGAAGCAGGAAGGACAACACAAAGGATTCTCTCCTAGAATTCAAGATCTAGGAACCAGATAGGCCCAAGGCTTCACAATGACCCTTGTACAAGCTAGCCAGGACTGCGCCTACATGGGCTTTCTCTGTAGGGTAGCACATAGGCTGGGCTCTAATTCTCACACTGCTGTTAGCTTCCTTCCATTGGGGTTATTCACCTCATGCTTGCCAACTGCTCAAATAGTCTCCTAAAAGCTATGCAGGGAAGGAATCATAGCACTGCAAGAAGCTGTCATTATTCCCTGGGGGTAACCAGGCTAAGGCAAACCTACAGCCACAGCCTGAAACAGTTCTACTGCAAACATGTGCCTGGTGGGACTGAGCTCTGTGAAACCCCCAGGGATGAGACCTCTACTTTGTCAACTTCCCCCATTTCCAAGTTGCACCTTAATTCCTCTCTCCTCCCTCCACGATAAGGCACATTCCTGTGTTGCTGGTGTCCTTCCACAGGGAGATCACACTGTAGTGTTGCCTATAAAAACTGAGCATTGCTGACCATTCTGCAAATTCACAGGCTTGTTTGACAGCTAACAAGCTCTGTGGCCAGGAAGCACAACAGAGTGAAAGCCCAATTACTGCTGAAGAAAGCCTCCTACAAAGGACTTAAATGTGCTAACAACCAGTGTGGAAGGGTAGGGAGGCCCTAATGGCCTGCCTGCTGTCTGAGAGGCAGCAGAAGACTGACAGTGAGCTGGCCCCTCTCAGCTATGGAATGGTGATGTTTCTCCTGAATCTCCCTCATTCAAAATCCATCTTGTTGACCAAAAAAGGGGAGGGACATCACTATGCAAAGATACAGGCACAGCTATCAGGAATTATCTATAAAGCATACTTACTTCCAGGTGGCTTCTCATCCCCTCCTAGCGTGCTTGGAATGGTTCTCATTTCTCCAGAATAAAATGCCAGCTTCCCTTCTCCTGATAATCAGACAAATCCATTTCCCTTAACCAGCTTTCTCGAAGAGCGGTTTGTGGGGCCTGAATAGAAGAATGTGGCCTTGCCCCATGGTCCTGAATTAGGATATTGGGGGTGGATTGGGAGCGGGATTCTGGATGTTAACAAGCTTTCTTGATTCTCAACACACTCGTTTATTTTACCCACTCATTTAGTTAACAAATATTACGCACGCAGTTACTCTGGGCTAGACTCTGTACTGGGAGCTAGGAAGGAGAGGCAAGCAAAAGGCACTTGCTCTCCATTCTCCCAGGAGGCAGTCATGAGAAGTACAGACCAAACAATCACAAGTGAACACTTATTTAATTTCCAGCTTTGGGTAGGGCCCAAGCACATGCTCAGAGCCCACATTGGGAACATGATGTGAGGGCTGAAAAGCTGACTTTGGTATCAAGCCTAGGTTTCTCTTGGCTTTGTCTCTGACCATGAGACCCCAGGTAAGTTAACACATTTCTCCAAGTCTCTATTTGCTTCCTTCATAAAATGGAGCTAATCATCCCTCGTGCCTCTGAGAAGTGAGTGAGAAAATCCCTGTGAAGACTTTTTGCTGTGTCTGGTGCTTCATAAATATGCTGTAAATATTGGTAGGGGTGAGAGAGGTGGCTATAGTGGCAGGACTAGTTGGCTGTGATACCATGTGGCATGAGTAGATGTGCAGTAAGTTTCAGTGGAGTTGGGCTAAGCTTCTACAATTTCTCTTAGTCATGTTTCCTAACATACTACTGACACGCAGAATTTCACTTGGGTATCAGTGTCCCTTCCTTTTCTTTGGAGTGAGTCCCTCTAAACCTACATGAGGACCAGTGTCTCTCCCTCAGATTCCTGGGGGGTTGATACTCTCCTATTTCTTGGTCAACCCACTTGCCATCTGAGCAATGGTTCCCTCACCCAAAAAAAGAGATGAGTCAACTAAGTGAAGTCTAAAACCCTCAATGCGAGGACTACCTTCTTGCTTTTCCAGATGAGACATTTTAAAAATCTATAATCATTACTACTTCTTTTTAAAAATGACATTTTAACACTAAAAGAATAGGAAGCACATTGTTTCAGAAAAAGAAGAAAATCTTCTCCCTAACAAAATGCTGGCAACATGGGGTATGTATGGCATAGACATTTGGTTCTCCCTTTGACTCCTGGTGAAATCCCCCCATCAGAGATCAGCCCCAGTCTAGAAACTCATGTTTTGGACCAATGTCCTAGTGCGTTGATTGATGATAGTGAAGAAAATGACAATGACAATGTCTTCAATAAACAATTACATCATACTCACTATATCCCAGGCTCTACGTATTATATATATTAACTCATTTAAAGCTCATCACAGCCCCATGAAGTAGATCTATCACCAGTCCCATTTTGCAGGGAAAGTAACCTTTCCAAGGTCTCACTGGTAAGAAGTAGCAAGTCAGAATCTGAATCCAAACAATTTAGGTTAAGAATTCATATTCTTGCTGGGTGTGGTGGTTCACCAATAATTCCAGAACATAGGAGACTGAGACAGGAGAATTGCTGTGGGTTTGAAACCAGCCTGGGCTACACAGTGAGTTCAAGGCCTGGACTACACAGTGAGACTCTCCAAAAATAAATAAAAGTTAAAAAATAAAAAGAATTGATATTCTTAGCTTCTCCATTCTACAGACAGAGAAACTGAGGTCCAGAGAGGAGAAAGAATTGCTCAAGGCGACAAAGGAAAGCAAACAGACAACTAACTGATAACACCGCTCTTACTTTGACTTTTCCCCAAACCACACTGTGGTTGTCTAAGCCTACTTTCCCTGAGCCCAAAGCAAGCTCCCCTTGGGCAGCAGCATATACCCTAGGTGGCCTCCTGGAAGGAACTTCCTGATAGAGTCAGAACAGTTACGTCTCTTAAAAGAAGTTAGCTCATCACTGAGATAACATGGAATTTCTCTCTTGCCAAATTCTTCCATCCAGCAGCCCAGGTTGCCCAGCTGAAGCAGTCAGTTGCCCATGGACTCTGATGGACCTCTGGTTGACCACAATGCAAGTGAAGCCATAATGAGGTGAGTGGAGGGTGGTCTGGTGTCCCCTGACACAGAATAACAACGTCCAGTTAATCATTTCAAAGCCATTGCCAAACTCCCAGCTATTGCTGTCTCCATAGAATTCTGGAATAAAACCACCTTTCAGCCCACCTGGAAGTCCAGCTTATGCTGCTTGGATACTGAGTGGGAAAGAGATGTTTCCTTCTCTCTCCTCCTGTCTCCAACTCAGGACATTAACTAGTCTGATGCTGTGTATTGGGGACCCAGGGATACATTAGTGCTAGGCCTGGAGTTACTCACAGCTTGGAAGGAGAAGCAATAAAAGAGTCAGTACAATACTGTGTGGTAAGTATCACAGCAAACAAGAAAACATGTGAAAGAATACTGTGCAGGACTTAGGGAGAAACTGGCACTTCAGTGTGGAGGCTTCGATGAGGACTTAGTCCCCATTGAGCTTGGAAGATGAAGGGACTGGTTAGGGCAAGATGAGGCTCTGAGCAGCAGATACCTTCGAGAGTCCAGCAGAACCTGCTGAGTATGGAATATCTTCAAATCAAAACAGGGTGGGAAGCTACGTGAGCCCTCTCCCTGCCTCACAGGGATGACCAGCCTGCCTCCTGTCACAGATGAAAGATGGGGGTTCCTTAGCTGGGCCATGCCAGGCCATCACTCAGAGGGAGCTTAAAGGCAGAGTCCAGGAAAAAGGCACAGATGGCTGGCTTCAGGACCCACTTCCTCAGCTGAGAGCTTTCTTGTATTGTACTTAGATTCAGAGAAGCATAAAACAGGCAATTTGGATTTGACCTCAGAGGTTATTCTTCTATATCGGGAAGCAGTGATTTGGCCCAGGAGAAATAACAATCCCTTAAATTTGCCTAACATTATATAGTTACACTTCATTTCATTTGGCTGGTACCTACAGATGTAATCAGTGTTCACATTCACCCTTGTGATTGCCCAAAGTAATTCTCCATGGGACTTGGTGTAAGCCATACATCCAGCCACCAGCTAGGACTTTTCATCCTAATCTTTTGGTGCTGGTGTGGCCAATGCCTCTGGGTTTGAGGGTTGAGGAAGCCAACATTACGTTCCTCATGCAAGAGAATAAACTGTCTGGAGTAACTTAAGGGAATCCTAGGTAATAGTCAGCCTTAATGAGCAACTCACATAGCACTCAGCTCAGCGGAGCACAACACAGCTGGCAGGAAATGTCTCATCTCCAAACACAAACTCAGTGTCCAGCAAAAAGCAGGCAGCAGAAGGGACATGCTTGACTGGGCAAGAGAAAAATGACTGTGACTGGAGGGGGAAAAAATCTCAATTACCCCAAACTAGACAATTGATCTTTCTTGCAAAAATAGAACTCCAACCAGGCGTGAAGACCCAAGGGATTTCTTGGGAGATGGATGGGGCTAATGAAAGGGGCTTTAAAACTACAAGCTACACATTATTGTGGAGCTTAGGGTATATCATGGGTTGGTATTTGACTTGAGTTTGAGTTTGAAGGGCAAAAGTTTGGCTGAAGTGGCTAGTTGAACATTCCAGAAAGCTGAGGTGATATAGTTTACAATGATCTTTAAAGAAACTACTCAGGAGGGTTGCCAGGAGAGGTAACAGGATCTCAAGTGGAAATCTGCATAAGGAAGAGCATTCCTTAGAATCAGAGGCCAAGAGAAATGTCATAAACTATCTACAGAAAGTAGGTAGGTGAGAAAGACCCCAGAATAGAGATGAGGGCAATGCACTGAATTATAGGTCCTAATGGCTCACTTCTTTATAACAGTATGATATAACCACTGCCTGGCTATGGCTTCATGGTAAGCACAGTTGGCTGTCATTCCCCTTGACATTGAGCTAGGCCAGTGACTTGCTATGGATCAGGGGGAGGCAAGCAGGACAGAGCTGAGATGTTTTTGTACTATGGTGATTTTGTCCTCTTGGCTTCCAGCAACCCACCAGGAGAAGAACATGCCCAGGTGGCCACTAAACCTGAGTCCGGACCACAGAATAAATGTAGAGGACCTGTGAAACAACCTGGAGCCACGGATCTGTGGCTATCTGGACCCATATCTTGAAACAGATCCAGCAACCAAGCACAGTCTAGAGCAGCCAAATACAGTCAACCCACAGACCTGTGACCAGGAGAATAAATGCTCCCTTTAAGCCTAGAAATCTTAGAGCCATTTGTTATATAGTACTATATAGCAGAGGTTTATGATGTCTAGAATCTGAAAAACTCTCAGAAGCAACAAAAAGTGAGAGTCAGATGCCCAAATAAATAATGTCCAGATCCTCATTCCCCCAGTCATTAAGACTTACTCACTCTCTTACTTCTTCTCTTACCCAACCCACATCTCCTGGTGCCTCATTACCTAGAGAGATAGGGAGAGAAAGAGGGAAGAGTATGGTCCTTTTTGTATATCAACTTGGCTAAACTACAATGCCCAATTATTCAATCAAATACTCATACGTATGTTTCTGTGAAGGTATTTTGTGATTAAAGTCCATAACCAGGTGATTTCAGGTAAAAGAGATAAACATGGCCATAGTAGGATCCTATCAAAAAGAAGATGAAGCCACATCACATCAGGATTACTGGACCTTCCTCAGGGACCTAGTTTCATTTCTCAAACTCTTTGCATCTTTCAACCGAATGGCACATTCAGCCTCTGAATTGCACCTTCTCTGAGCTCTCTGACCTGTGCTTTCATGGAGGCCATAAGTCACACCATTTCCTTCATATATGAGAGTTTTGGGGAAATAATTGATCAAGATCCCACCCACTCATGCCAGGTCTAGACAGAGGGAAAATTACTAAATCTGTAAAAGAGACACCTTGAATGTGACAGGGAGTAGACATACTGCATAGTGAAGCTGAGGGCTGAGTGGTTTTTTATGTTTAAACAGGACTAACTCCATATCCAACATGTGCCGTTTCTGAGCTGTGTATCTTAAATAAAAGACTGGTGTTCTCTGGACCTTGATTTCCTTGCTATGAGGATCATAATGCCCATCTCAGTGGGCTCTAGTGAAGGTTTAAGGAGACTGCACTGGGCTTTTGGTAAATGCTCAATAAACAGTAACTGGAATAATAAGTATTATCAGTAGTGGGCCCACCACCCCTATAATTGAGCCTTTCTCCACCTGCACCTCTGCCACCTCCTGCTCCTGCAGTGTCATTGTCACCTCTGCCACAGTTCTCACCAGCCGCAGCCTGAAAGCCCTGTGGCCATAAACAGTTAATGTGATTATTGCACTTAGCCCACATTTGCAGTAGCTTCCTCTCTTTAATCACTTTGAAAGTGTTTCAAATTCCTTTCCTACGTGACTGAAATCAAAGTGGCACCTGTGAAGGCAGAAAGCCTGACTGCCAGAGAGGTGGAGATGTAAAATAGTCAGGCTTTGATGGGGAGAAATTATGTCTTCCTTAATTCCTTTTATCCTATAATTACCAGGCACAACCACGTGGGGTGACAGCAAAAATAACTTATCACATAAAGGCACTGTCTATAGAATCCTGGTTTTAGTCCTTGTGGAAGACCCCCAGGTTCTCCGCTATGGCCATCCCCAGCATCTGTATTGTGCTGTAGCCCACCTTCTTGTCCAGCTCCCCATGGCCACCACTAACCCCCGACCACCAAGGGGCAGTCTCATGGTGTCTACTCTGTCATTCTCGTCCCACCTTCACAGCATGATGGGTAATCAGCTCCTTATACTTTCCCCACTTCACTTCCCTATAGTCCTTCTCCCGCTTCACCTTCACCCTCAGTCTCCTGCATACCTTGCTCTCGTTCAGCTTTTGGAGGCTGGGAATGGCCCCTGGAGGTCCTATCAGTCAGCATTTCTCTCCTCTCCTGTCTCTCCCTCTTCCTCCTCACCCCTCTCTCTTCCCTTTCTCATCTCTTCACTCCTATTATTTCAGACAGCATGTTTGACATGGAGACAAAACTCACATTCCACTATCATCTCAGGACTCCAAAGAACCAGGACTTCCACCTGCCGTGGTAGTTTCTACCCTGCCACTCTGCTGGATCCAAACTTGGTCATTCTGGACTTCTCTCCTGCAGAGTAAGGACTCCTCTCCCAAGGCTTAAATCTCTACCTTCTGTTTCTCTTTACATGGGGATGCAATCTGAAACTACCCATGCCAGAAATAGAGTGTGACTTAGAGGAAGTTCAAGTAGCCTTTGAATCATGGGAACCTGAGTTCAGATCCTGGCTGTGTGTGAGCCTTCAGGTTTATGTTACTTCAATTTCGGTATTTATAAAATGGAAAAGTATTCTTATTTCTGAGTATGGCTTCTAAGAACTACACTACACAGTATATGAATACAGTGAACACATTTCCATGTCTCCATTCTGCTGCCTCTGCCCTTCTGTCCTTGGTTTTTAGTGTCTATAGCAACAATCTTAGAACTGGCCCCTCTGCTTCCAGACATTACTCTTGCCTTCCTTCAATCACTCACCAACAGAAAGTTCTCACCAAACCAGTTTTGAACCTGTATCTTCATACTTGGAATGTTTCCAGGGCAAAAGGTCAAAGTCTAAAGTAAAAGTCATGGGAATCGATGGAATGAGAACAGACTCGGTAGTCATCCAAACTAATTTCGAATTTTCACTCTTCTACTAATTAACAGATTAGACTTTGATCCTTGGTTTACTCAACTGTTTTATAAGAATAACCATCCCTAATTCAAAGGATCATGGTAAAAAAAAAAAAAAAAAAAGATCATGGTGAGAATTAAATAAGTCACAAAAGTTAATTACCAGGATTTCAGCACATAGTAGGTGGTCCCCTTCACCTTGTGGCTCCTCCTTTTTTTCCATATATCTTCAACCGCATAACCAGATCATTTGTACTCTTTCGGGCTTTTGTGTTTCTGTTTTTTCATTTACCTCTCAGCTCTCTGAAATAAAATGATGATTTAAACTTCCTACCAATATGTTGAAGGGCTGAGCCAGCAGATTAAGAACAATACAGGATACCCAGTCACAGAGGAGTGATGGTATTCACAGCACAACTTGAAAAAAACTGTCACGTGGCAGTGTCCACCTTGCTGAGAGTTTGGACATGGTGCATTGAGAATTTCTTTACTACCTTTTTTAGTCTTTAAACAAAACCTCTACATGAAGAAATCACAAAAGGTGACCATGCCTTCAGGAAGGGAGGAGAGGGTTATAAGCCATACTGATGAAGACAACCAGATCCTAAATACCAACCTGCTTCCTCCTTGTGGTGTAACTTGAGCAGAGCAATGGTCAGGAGGTCCTGGGTTAAAGAAAGTCTCAGTGTGGGTCTCTCAGAGGGGGAAACATCTTACCAGAAAGAAAGAAGGTAGTAGTTGAAAGATCAGGGCTAGAGTTGATTGTTGTTGCTGGATTCACCAACAAACATATTTACGAGTCTATTTTGTCCCTAAAATTTTTTTCATAGTTTCATAGTTTAATGCTATTTATACAACACTTGGAAAGGAAATCCTGTGACTTTCTTTATTTCTCTGGGAAAAAAATCATTTTGACTTAAGAATTCTTTTAACTTTGAAAATTATTTAATTAACACATAATATGTGTACATATTTAGGGGTACATTCAGTGAGTGTGTACAATGTGTAATGATCAACTCAGGGTGACAGCATTTCCACCTCTTCAAATGCCTTTTCTTTGGGATCAATGTCCATGGCACCTCAGGATTTGCTGTTGGGCACCTGTCCAGGAAAACATAAACTTGACTTCAGTCTGCAGTTGCCTTCTCGACATGCTCTGCATTCTGGGCCCTCCTCTGTCCAGGATTTTTCTCCTGTTATCCACAAAATTTCCCCCCTCATCCTCTCTGTCCATAGCACCATGCTGACATCTGTATCCAGCCACTTCTCCTCATTTTTTCTCATTGCATGTTTAAGGGGCTTTTTAAAAATTATGATAAAATATACCTAACATAAAGTTTACCATTTTAACCATTTATTTAAAGTGTACATCCCAGTGGCATTAAATACATTCACACTGTGTTACTATCATCACTATCTATCTCCAGAATGCTCTTCATCTTGCCCATCTGAAACTTTCATTAAACAGCTCCACATTCCCTTCTCCCCCAGCTGGTAACCACCATTTTCTTTTCTGTCCCTATGAATTTGACTAATCTAGTTACCTCATACAAGTGAGGTACCTATAATTTACCCATATAACCTTACAGCATTTGTCTTTCAAAACTGGTTTATTCCACTTAGCATGTCTTCAAGGTCCATCCATATTATAGCATGTGTCAGAATTTTCTTCTTTCCTAAGCCTGAATAACATTCCACTGTGTAGATTGACCACATTTTGTCCATCTATTCATCCATTAATAGACCCTTGGGTTGCTTCCACCTTTTGGTTCTTGTGAATATTGCTGCCATGAATACGACAGTGCACATTTCTATTTGAGCCCCTGCTTTTGCTCCTTTGGGGTAATAACCAAAAGTGCAATTTTGCATCATGGCTAAAGGGTCACATATCTTCTCTCCCCTGCAAGACAGAAGTACCCTCCTAAGGTGAAAAATTTTCCTGAAATACAATCTTTCTCACTCTGGAGTGCACTTTTGCACATGTCTGTGATGTGAGGTGGCTGGAGGTAAGCACTTAGTAAAGATTTGTGGATGTAAACCTGGTGCAGGGAGTCTGTTCTGTTGCTGGCCATTCTCCTGACCAGAGTCCCCTTATGGCCTTGAAAACAAAAGGAAATCAAGGTCTGCACAATTTTCTTAAGACCCAGACACTCAACCTCATTCCTCACTGTAGATTTCCCCACTTTATCTCGGAATGTTCTGTCATTTTTGGCCCTTGGACATGGGCAGGAACTTCACTTGCTGCTAAAGCACACTTTTGGTAGGACAGGGCTGTAAGAACCAGAAAATAGAACAGAAGGCTATGAGGAAACACTGGTTTGATTCTAATGTGACATTAGAATGTGCAATACCCTCCAGGGTCAGCTGTGAAGAGCAGAAATGCCCAAGGCCAAGTCTGCCCATTGTCCCAAGGACTGGGAAGGGGGGTGGGGAGCTGAAGCTTCCCTGATCCCTGCACTTGATGACTTCTGGAGAACAGAAGAGCTGAGCTGAGGTAAATTTGGGTCATGTAGCACAATAAATTGGTACCAGACATGAACTCAAGAGGAATGAAAAAGTCTGAGCTACCCAGGGAAGAGAAAGAGCACCCAGCTGGGTGTGAGGAAACACAGGGAAGATGGTACAATAGCCCAACCATCTGTCCATGCTCTTCCACAAGGTAGTGTGGCAGCAGAGCCTATTTCTCCTCCCCTACAATCCAGGCTTACTTTTGACTTGCAGTGACCAATAGGGATCAGTCACCTTGCTATCCTGGAACAGATCTTAAGAGACCTTGCCATTGCTGTCTTTGCTCTCTTTGTGCCCTCAGACTACTATGGAAGAAAACCCGTTATAAGTAGCCACATGGAGGTGAGCCTAGATGACCACCAGAACCAACTACCAGATTTATCTGTGAGCCCATCTTAGACCTGCCCACCCTGCCAGCCTTCTAGGGGACCCAGTAAGTCTAGCAACCCAGTAAATGAGCAGAGAAACCCACTAGAAAACAAAAAGGAAAATAAAAAGTTACTGTAGTGTTAATTCACTAAGGTTTGGCAAGAGGAAATTGTTACAAAGCAATAGTTAAACAAAGCCAATTTACATCCTGGCTCCACCAAAACCCACTGCCAGGTTTCAGGTAAAACATCTCTCTTTTTTGACTTCTGTTTCTTGCAATGAAATTAAAGGATTGAAGGAACAGAGAGAAACAGGAAAATCACAGGCTTTAGGGTTTATCAGCTGTATTCTAGGTCACAGCTTATGAGGTGTGTGACCTTAGCCAAGTTACCTAAATTCTTTAAGCCTCTATTTCTTCATCTTTCACATGAGAGTAATAAAATACATTCAGTTTCTGGAAAGATTAATTGAAATA